CATATGAAAAAACTCAACGATTGTGGACCTTTTCAGATAGGAAACTTTTAAAACATAGAAAGTATTACTTAATATTCTGACTTTAAGTAGAAAAAAGTTTTTTTTTGTAGTCATAAGACGACGCCCTTTATATCCGTGGTAAATTAGAAATATTAGGTTCGGCGGCGTTCCGTAGGGCCTTCTTCATCAATGTTATTGCAAAAAAATGATAACTGCCTGACTTTTGTTAAATAAAAGATTTTTTCAAATTATAGTCAAATTCTTATTCTTATCGTATCAATAATTATATGGAATCATTTCAGAAAACACTCCCAGAATGTTGTGTTAATTAGTAACAATAATAAATAGTTGCAAAATAATGAACCTTTCACGTCCCCTTTTCCTCTTGACACTTTTTCCAAAAATTTTGAACCACTTCCACTGGAAAATATCCGCAATTTCAAGTCTAATAATGAAAACACTTTTTTGAGAGTTTTTTTTTTTAATTGTAAGAGTTACATTGCTTTTTGATCTACGAGGGGGTACCCATAAAAAACCGGAAATGAATTGCCGCGCGCAGAGCTTGTATAGTACACCTTTCTGCCGCTAGGTTGTGGATAATACAACTTATTGCGAGTTCAACGCCACCTTCGTTTTAAATTTAACTTGTTTTGTTCACTTGCAGTGCCATTTTTTGTTAACGCTGTTTTTTTGTTATTTCGTTTTTTTCGATGGCAAGTTTAAAAGAACAACGTGCAGCTGTGAAATTTTGTTTTCTGCTCGGTAAAAGTGCTGCTGAAACTGTTTCAATGTTAAAAACAGGTTTTAAAGACGATGCGATGGGAAAAACTCAAGTGTACCAGTGGTTTGTTCGCTTCAAAAATGGCGACGAGTCAATTGATGACCGACCTCGTTCTGGACGCCCATCAACTGCTCGAATCGACGAAAATATTGAAAAGATTCGAGTGTTTGTGCTTACAGACCGTCGACAGACAATTGAACAATTATCAAAGATTAGTGGGTTGTCTTGGAGCACGGTTCAGCGAATTTTAACCGAAGATTTGGGAATGAAAAGAGTTGCTGCCAAGTTTGTTCGTCGTGTTCTGACTGACATGCAAAAAGAACATCGAGTTGAAACATGTCGTGCTTTGAATCAACAGCTTGAAACGGATCCAGATTTTCTTTCAAAGATCATTACTGGTCACGAGTCATGGTGATATGGTTACGATCCAGAAACGAAGCAACAGTCCAGCCAGTGGAAGACGTCACTGTCTCCCCGTCCAAAGAAATGTCGTCAGGTCAAATCAAACATCAAAATGATGCTGATTTGCTTTTTCGACATCAACGGCTTAGTTCATGCAGAGTTCGTTTCACCAGGTGAGACCGTTAATCAAGCTTTTTATCTCGAAGTTTTAAGAAGATTGCGCAACAGTATTCGACAAAAAAGACCCGATTTGTGGCGGACAGGGGACTGGTTCTTTCACCACGATAATGCACCTGCACACACAGCCATTTCTGTTACGCAGTTTTTGGTTAAAAATGGCATGGTTCCTCTGCCCCATGCACCTTACTCGCCTGATCTCGCTCCGTGTGACTTCTTCTTATTTCCACGTATGAAAAGGGACATGAAAGGACAGCGATTTGACAACATTGAAGAGGTCAAGAAAAAAACGAGGGATGAGCTGTCGGCTATAGCCAAAGATGAATATAAAAAATGTTTCGAACAGTGAAAGCACAGCTGGGACAAATGTATAAGTTGTAATGGAGAGTATTTTGAAGGGGATAAGGTCGTTCTGTGATTTTCAAAACAATATATAGTTTATAAAAAATGTTTCCGGTTTTTTTTTGGGTACCCCCTCGTATATGAATCATAAATCATAAAACCATTTTCGCATATTCCTTCAAATCTTCAGCCTTTCTTTATATTATCTTGTATTTTTTTATGCACAATTTCCTGCACAGTAATTAAGTTGATTCCCGGTGCTTTCGCTACTAGTTCCTAGATATTAGCTGGCTATTTTGCACTTTCTCTTTCATTTTCAAAATTAAAAACCATTGTTTTTGCTTGGAGATGAAAAAGCCCAAAAAATTGTTTTTTTATTATTCACGTTGCCACTTAAGATTTTCAAAGTCTCAAAACTGACAGCTGTAGATTAAAGCTTTGTCAAAGGATAATGAAACGAAAATATAACCAGGAAATAATCATCCTAGCAACTAGCAAAGGCCACTTTGCCACTTAACTCTTATTACGGAATTGAAATGAAATGACACTTTTCTATAAACAGTGGCAAAAAAAAACGTATTGAAATTAAGTTAGTAAAGAGCATTCTAAAAAAATGTGAATTACTTTTTGTCTTAAACATGCCTTGCTTAGTTAACAATAAAGAATTAGTTAAATTGTATGCAAAAATAATAACCGGGGTCAAAACTTATCAGTTTGAAATTTACCAATTGCAATTGTTTTTTGTTTTCGTTCAGTAAAACACTTTTTTCAAATGGGTCGTCGGACTACAATTTCTAAGAGAAATTTAATTACAAACAAAGTAAACAGTGCCCCAACTTGATTTCAATAAGTTGTTTTTTTTTTTCAAATATATAAAGAGACATTCAGACCAGTTAGTTTTTGTTGTTTGCTGTTTTTGTTGAGTCACTGTATAAAAATAACAAGGTCTATAATGGTGAAATTGGAAAATAATATTGCAAATATTTTAAAAAACAGCTTAAAGAAGAAACTTTAATACCCTTTTTGACATTTTTTTAAGTAAATCTGCTATTACCTTAATTATAACCCCGACACTATCGTATAATCCCAGCCTAAATAATATTTTAATATTAACATTTCATCGTATACATATACGATAAACACGATAAATTTGGCGCAAATTAATCTCCGACCGTATACTAAAACCGTATAAACAAAATAAAAAAAATAATAATGATCGCGGCGAAAACGCGTTATCAACGTCTATATAATAAGTTAATAAGATCCCCGCGTAAAATATAGGGAGGCAAATATCGTAAAATTGGAACAGATATTATTCACGCTTTTTATGACTAATCGTGAATTATTATATTTTTAAATTACCTGGCGAGTTCGCGCCCGCGGAGTTTTCGTGTGAAAAAGAACAGGTAACGGGGTCTGGCGATACGGCCGGCTCAATTTTCGTCGAACTTGCCGGACGTTAACGTATGAACGGTACGAATCTAGAGATCGCGAAGCATATGATTTTTCTTAACACTTTCCAGTATTCAAAAATTCGCGATTTTCAAGACAACAGTCGTAAAACCGATCAAGGTTCGGATATAGAATTGTATTTCGAAGGTTAGTTTTATATTCTTTTAAATGACATTCATTTTTACTATTACATGCATCCATTACGTCAGTCCTGGCTGATAAGTTGCTAATTAATTTCATAAAGGAAGTTCAAAGTTATTTCAGTATGAAGGTCTACTAAGTATATCCAAGTATCGAAATGAAAAGGCATATAAAGTTCGTTTTAAGAGGGTTTAGTACTTACGAAATATTTCTCGTATTTAATAATAATTCTAGTTCTAAAAACAGCTTTTGAAGGGCGGCCATTTTTATATTTTGGATACGAAAATGGATTGTAAGGTCATAATTCTCTTTTGGTCAATTTTTGAACATTTGAACATTTGTTTAAAAAGCAAGAAAAATTAATCACGTAAATATAGATCCCTACTGAATTAATTAGTTATTATTACTACTATTATATAATCAACGGTTCATTTGGCTTAAGGTAATCGTAATATAAAAAATTATGTATGTTTTATTGTTGTGCATCTATTTTTATACTATTTTTAATCACTCCTATACAATTTTTTATCTATGTTTTAATTATGACCAGGAAAACAATGCTATAAATAATTTTATTTAAAAATACATTTTTGTAGATTAAAATTAAATGTATGAAGAAGGTCTTGATGGCCGAAACGTCACAAAAAATAAAATGTTTCACAAGTAACGGAAACTTATTTTAATTAATTTCACTAAAAAAGGACCAAACAAAACCCAAGAACCATTTCTTAAGAATATATAAAATCATATACATATACATATATATATATATATATATATATATATATATATATATATATATATTAAAACCGCTAGTGACAAAACCATTAGAATCAATGATCCTTTCGTATCTCCTGATCATATAACGTTCCATTATTATTTCCTTTTAATCAGCTACTTATGTTTTGGGCACCTTTCCAGCTGCCCTTTTATCTCAAACTTAGCAGATTGTGCAGTTACGCTTTCACCGTCGATATTAACGGCCCTTAAGGAACAAGTTCAACTTAGTAATAGTATAATTGAAGTCAGTTTTTGGTTATATTAATTTTTTTTTGAAAGACGCGATGAATGGTAATACGGAAAGATGTCTACAAGGAATATTACGTGACGTAACCAAATATTTCGTATATTTGCATTATTTGAAATTTGAAAAGTTTTCCTCCATAGACGCATTGGAGCTGTCATATTTTTGATGCCTTTGAGTCGTATGTCCCTTATTAATGGAGCCAGCGTGCCGCGCCTTTCTTGGCCAAGGCTGCCATTTGATATTTTGTTATTTATTTATTTATAAAAAAAAACTGTTTCCAAGGCCAGGAAATAAAATTAAAAATATATGCTTTAAATTCGAAATAATTTTTATATTTTTTAAGGATTAATAAAAAAACAAATAAAATTATGAAAAGACATGTTCCATTAAAAAAACACAAGTTTAGTTTACATATCAAAAATTGCGATTTTCAGAAGAAAACTAATCACGTCACTGCATCCTTCCAGACCAGTTTCCAACTTTTGTGACTATTTATCTTTTCAACGTATCTGTCCAGAATTTTGCTCCTGAGGAAGGTCGTTTAACCGAAACAAGTATGGAATTTATAATATATTTGGAGCGCTAGACGATTTTTTTTAATTGTAGGCTTTACTGTTTAAATTTAAGTGGCAAATTTGATAAAATGGCTAAAAACAAATGATTTATTTTGACACTTACCGGCTATTGAAGACGTGGAGGCTCCGAGCCAAGCGTGGGACGATTCCAACAACTTGGCCTGAAAACGAAAAAAAAAAAAACATAAATAATTACGATGACTAATAGTTTTCCGCTATCGAAACAGAACCAATATTATGTTTATGGTTTGCGCGATTTTCCGCGATTAGAAGTAAATTTCGATGAAAATCGCACGTTCTCGCGCGACCATAAAGATACGAAACTTATTATTCCGCATAATCAGTTCGAAATTAAATTTTATAAACGGACGATTAAATTAAACAGCAACACACCTGCGGCAAGTCGAATTGCAGGCGTTATCGTCGGATAATACGCAGAACCTTAGAATATTAAAACGCTTTTTTGATAACTTTTATTAGCTTAAGTATAAACGGGCGTCTATTAACGAGAAAAGCAAAAAACAAAACGAATCTTGCACCTGGGATTTACAATTTTGTATCCGGTGGCCGGCTTGCAATCACTTTACCTCAATGACTTTGTTGACGACGATGTTTTTATAAGATTTTATCATACTGGGAAATTTTCATGCCTCTAGCTTTAACCGTTTCGAAGTTATCTACGTTCAGCGATTGTAAGACGGCAGGAAGCGTCGGCGGATGGGTGACGTCATTCCCTGCATTGCGCTATGGGATGAAATTGAAGAATGAATGAATTTGGGCGTTCCTTTTAGTGCAGTTCTTTTTTGACCAGAATATGGTATACTTCAAGAATAATAATTGATTTAAAGAAAAAACGGACATACCATACTAGTCCGATTATATGACTCTAATGATATGGCTACTGTAAAAATCAATCTTTTTGGTCCTTCGAACCGGCTCAGTTGCTAAAAATAAGCGTAAATCCTACTATTTATATTGATTGTTGACAACAATTACTTACTCAAACAGTATTTTTTAACTTGAGCATTAAAGCAATCATAGTTTGGTGCTTCTTTTTCTCTAAAAATGCCGTTCGTTGTTGTGAATTATCTGACGTAATTCAATTGTTTTACACCTTGACTTTTTTATCAAAAAGTCAAGGTTTTAATCTCGTCTTTTTTTTTCATTAGCTTTCTTTATCCACGTTTACATTGTTATAAGTAAATTATTTATAATTTGGTTTTCGAACGCATAAAAATGGTAATAGGAACAGTAATTTGTTTATTTTATTTAATTTATTTTTAGCTCCTTCTCACCAAACTTGAGATCTCGGTAACGATACGTCCACCATTGGTACAAAAATGATCAGCATCGAAAAAAAAAAATTTGTCTGTCCGTTCTCTGTAGACAGAACACATTTATAGCCATACCTTTCGAACGGATTAAGGTAGAGGGTTGAAATTTGGCTCCTTTTTTACCGTCCACGATCCGCACAATATATGTAAAAATGGCCGCGATCGGATCTTGGCGTCCATTTTTTTTTTCGATTTTCGACTGTTTATTTATTATCGGTTAATGAGAAGTATTTTTTAAAATTTCAAAACTATTGTTTTTCAAAAACAAAAATTGACTATTTCTCGAAAACGGTTCATTCGAAAAAAATTCTTGAACGAGAAGATGCGGAATATTGACGCCCAAACTTTTATTCTTGACAATTTTCTGAAAATGTACAGAGTGCCAAAAATGTGAAAATTGAGTTACCTGTGAAAGGAAAATTGACTGTAAGTTCAACACTGTTACTCAGTCGGCGGTTTCATCTACATGACAGCTTAGCCCATAGAGAGATCTAAAACTCTAAAGTATCTAAAGTATTTAAAGTGTTCGCATATTGTACAGGGCGTTCGAGATATAATGTGTTATGCTGAAAAATGCAGCAAGTGCCCGGAATATGCAGCTATTGACTTCAAATTTTGCCCGCATGCAAATTATGAAAGCATCGGGCATCGTCAAATATTTTTTAAAACTTTTCGAAAAATTTTTTGTCGTCATTTTGGGCTATAAAAAAAAATTCATACCTCGAAAACTATTAACCCGATCGGCAAAATTCTTGAACCATAAAAGAAGGTCGAGGACTACAACTTTTATTTCAGGTATTTTTTCGATTATGTACAGGGTTTGTTAATTGTGAACAAAAATCGAAAAGACCATGAAAATTTTTTTTTCTGTAATAAATTATTAACGGTAAATCAAAATTCATGAACAATGTGAACATTTGGTTTAAACACTGTTATAGGGCACATCGAGAACTACAATTTTTGTATTTACGGTTTCCGTCTATCACAAACGGTGGTCGAGATATTTGAAAAAATCCAAATAAAAATCACCATTTCTCGCCCTTAATCGAGACGAGTGAGTTCAGTTAGATCGCTTATAGAATAATGATGGTGTGTATGTTGACCGGAGTAACAAAAATTACGCCGCCATCGTTGGAGGCGTAATTTTTGCAATCGCATACGTGGCAGTTGACTCGATGTCGACAATCGCAAAAAATACGAATCCTTAGATCGTGATCCTCATCTTTAATCTAATGATGTTCGGGATCGAATTCTCGCTCCGGATGTCATAAAGGCCGTAAGTTTCGTAATGCCACCCAGAAGTTTCATGCAACATTCAACAGGTTAATTTTTTTCTATACCTTCCGTGCATTTCTTCCGTGCCGTTGCGCTGCCATCGATACCACGAGGTCGACCGTTTGACCATCGAGACGGTTGAACCGAACCATCGAATCATGGATATTTCTCGCACAAAGCACTAGTGCGTACGTTTACTAATTTTTTGCTACAAATTAAAAAAATTGTAATTTTTAATTACTTTTGATTTTTTTTTCGAAACAGTGATGATATCAATCGACCAATATTTTTATACAACGAGCAGTGGTGGAATAGTGGCTTTTAACAACCAACATGGCTGACAGTTGGTCAATTACAGATTTTAGGTTAGAGGTAGCATTTTTACGGCAGTATTTTCTCAAAATATGCTCAGATCTCGTTTGATGTTCTGGAAAAATTAGTTAACTGCATGGAGATCGCTGTTAAGAGTGCAGAAGTATTTAAAAGTTTAATTTAATGTATTTTTCTACTCCACACCGATCTAGCGTGCGGGAATCGTCACTTTACCACATCAGTTTCGTTTCCCACGGATCCGAACCACTTCGGACACAGGTTTAGGAGCAATCGGATGTTTTCGGAGATATTTCCCGCGCCTTGAATTTTAACGTTTGTCAATTCTGACGGTCATGTTAGTGAATGTATTCGTGTTGTTTTGCGAAAATGTACCCAAAAACTAATGGTCGTAGAAAATGTATAGTATGCAACACGTTCGGTAAGTTCTTTAAGTCACTCGTTTATTAAACACTCGCTTTGCTGCGCTCCGCTAGTGTCAAATAAACTCGTCAGTCAAATGCCGTTTACCGCACTTGTTAAATACTATTAAATTTTTTGAGATTTATTTGTGGTTCGGGGGTTTTAAACTTTGGGATTAAGCAACAGCAATTACTTACGTAAAATACATATACACTAGATTGTCAAATCTTTTATTTTTAGAGGCTGCAATTCGTTTTTTAATTGTTGGAAACCTCGTTCAACTTTTAGGATTCATTTTTTTTATATAAACATCAACTAGAAACTCGCGTTATTCCTAATCCCACGATTTCCACTCTTCTTTTAATACCTGGAGGCATGGTGGGTATGCTACAGACTATATCAGGTAACTGCTGCAGTGTCTAATGGAGAGCACCCAGTTCTGGTGCTGCCATCAGACATAACCCGTAATGCAAACACGTCGAACCTGCCAAGCAGGGACGAATGGGTACGTAATAAGTCTGACCTACGGGGTAAACGACAGCGTTGGTTCACAGACGGCTCCAAAACCAATCATATTCCAAGCGGAAGTTCTTGCCACTGAGTTTGTACAAGAAACACACGGAAACATCAATATACTTACGGATAGCAACAGTAAAAACGCAAATAGCTGTCAAGAGGTCTAGATTAGTGAGACGAATTCATTTTGACATGGATGCGTGGACACAGTGGCCTGCAGCGAAATGAAAAAGCTAACCTTCTGGTACGGAAGGGGGCAAAAATTTCACAGATAGGATCACAGTCCAGATTGAAGGAGGAACCTCGCATACCCAGACTATTTCAATACATTAGTATACAATGTGTGTGCAGTATGAGTATGAGCGCAGTGGGAAGAATTGTAAAGTGAGGGGCTCAGATCATGGAACTTAAGAATGTGAACAATATAGCACCCCACAAAAAGGGACTTCATATGAGGGCTGAACTTGATGGGAGAGATACGAAATGGGGAGTATGCTGCAATAGATCGATTGGTAGCAGCGAAAGGTGGGCAACACAATAACTTAAACATAACCTAAACGATGGGCCAAATTAAAGCTCTCCGCCTCTAAGAAACAAAACGCCCTTAAAAGCAACTTAATTCACTTCGTCGTTCGAACAGAAGCGGGACAAGAAAAAAAAAATAAACCCGATAGAAATTCCACTGGCCTGGGTTTATTTAATAGTTGCACTCAACGTTTATATTAACGGGTGATCACAAAAGCGGTAGACATTCCATCGCTCGTCCTAAACGCGTAAACAGCGCTAAAATAAGTTTTATTCCTTCTTAATAAACAAACAATTTTAGACAAATAACGTTTGTGAGCGAACGTAAATATTTACGCTGGAAGTTTTAAAACATAATAGTTAACAATAAATTTTATTATCTTTTTGATTATTTAAAGAATTTTTATTGTTCCGTCGACGAGTGGTCGTCGTCTCAGCGGCGTTTTTGGGAAATGTCAGTTTATACGAGCCCTAACAACTAAATGTTCGGACGATGTAAAAAATGTTAAAAAAGAAATTTTTATATCTATTTTAATTTTTTTTTGCCTTGTCGATTGAATAATCAATTTACGCACATTACGATAGCACAGAAAGTGCTATTGTAATGAATTATTCTTTATTTCGCATGAATTACATAGCAAAATAACGGAAACCAAAACCAAATTTGCTGACAAATAAATATTCGCGAATGTTTATTGACCAAGAAATCAATGCTACCCATCTATTGATGGTAAAATGTAGTGTTCTTAGATAAATGAGATGTCAGTTCGGGTTGAATC